CTACCTAGATCCTTCCTTAATCTAGACTTGAGATCTATGAACTTGAATAGCTTACGTTTCTCAGTCTTGTAACTTTCCTCTAATTTTTGGATGGAGGCATGATAAGGTATTTCATTAACTGTGTCCGAAGAACACTTCTTTATTAGGTTGCAGAATCTGGGATTGATACCATAATGTTTGCAACAATTCAAAAAGGCCAAATGGCAGGATTGATTTACAATTGTCTTCTTTGTCCGTCTGTAATCGGTGCATTTTTTGGCAATCTTACTTCCATAGTTTAATCGATAATATGAAGACCAAGATGGTGTTGCATTTTGTGTGGTCACAGTGTTTTTTCGTTGTATAGAAGTTGTTTGACCTTGTTTTCGCAACTTGGTCATACTGGTAGGAACACTTACAGGAATGTACCTAGTCAGGAGTCCATTGTGTATATGATCATTTCCAGAGTAGGACCGTGGACGTGGTACATTCCCAGACGTTTCGCCGGCATCGTCAGTGAGTATCCATATTCTTAACACCATATAACAACTCACCAAAGAGACTAGGTGTATTCTGGAAATGATCATGAATACAATGGACTCCGGACTAGGCGAGTTCCTCTAAGTCTTCCTACCAATATGACCAAGTTGCGAAAATAAGGTCAAATAACTTTTGGTTTATAAACTTCAGAAATCTTCTGTTTTTTTACTTGCATGCGACTAGTGCAAAATTTTCATCTCTTGGTTGCTGTGGTAAAATCTTGAAGTTCTCTTCTAAAACGTTCATCTATATGTTCGCCAAAAGAGGTTAAAGCAACAAACCTATAAAAGTTCAAGGATTTGTTTAGAGATGTTCGCGTTGAATGTGAAGTAGGTAGTCCTTATATCAAATTAGTTAGTCGTCTTACCGACTCCTGATCTTTTCTGCTCCCTTTTAAGGAGTGGAGTATAAATAAACAAGTTAAAAGTTTTTGTAGGGTGTTAGTGAGATAAGAGAGTAGGGAGTAGATAGAGGAGCAAGGAAAGAAAGAGGAGTGTTAGCGTAACAATAAGACGAAGGGCTGGTCAAGAGATTGACTTAACTTGTCTCTTTTTACTAGTTGTATCTTGATGGTGAGAATGGCAAGACTGACTGAAGATGCCGGCGAAACATCTGAAACAGTACTAAGTCCATGGTCTGGCACTGAGAATTATAATAATTACCATAGCAGAGGACTTAGGACAATGGGCGTCCAGCTAATTCACCTTGACAACACGACCAAATTGCGAAGACGACCAATCTGTCATTTTCTGGTTGCTAATGCTTTCGATTAACCAATATGTTAAGTCGGCTGCTTGTTGTTGCCTAGTCAGCTTGTTTGACCATCTATTATGACGATAATTATGATGTGTAGGTGATATATTGAGCAATTTATACATAGTCTCTACTTTTTTTTTATTCAGGTGGTCCTTTACGACTCCGATTGGAATCCCCATCATGATGTGCAGGCTTTGTCGCGAGCGCATCGTATTGGTCAATCCAAACCTGTAGTAATCTACCGATTCGTAACTCGTCACAGTCTTGAGGAACGCATTTTGAAGGTTGCCCGCCGCAAACTTGCACTTACTCGCCTTGTAGTTAACCAACAGAGCCAGCAAACGACAAAAATGCGGCTTTCTTTGCGCGAAGCCAATGAGCTTTTGCGCGCTGGTCTCGATCTTCTTTTCGATCCTGCTGAAGAGGCAGTCGAGATGGCTGGTGGTATTGGTAGTGCCAAGGATGAACTGACCGCTGCGCTGCCGAAGCCAAATGAGCCATCAGCATCACGGGAGAAAGCAGGTATGCGTTTCTTCAATAACGGAAGGGATTTCTTCAGAAGTAAAGATCAATATTGAGTACTCGCAGTCGAAAATTTCCGTTAGTTAAAATACCTAACTGGGTTCTGCTCATCATTTAGCCCTTCACACAAGAATTACACAGCGAGCGAAGTCATTCTCATAGTCCCATCTGAGTATCCTCTTATTCTGTTTGGGCTACCTATGGCGAAACTACAGTTGGACTCGAAAGTACCTTTGTCCAATAATACTCGAAATATCGTTGAATCTTTGTCTGATACTCATTACTTTTAGAATGCCTCCTAGCTTGTCACTTTAAAGATCACTACCATACCTTATCGCTACTTTGCGATTGTTTTTTCCTGCCTTATAGCTCGGTAAATGTTATGCCTTGGTTTTGTTCCGCAGTTATCAGCTGTCTAATTGTTACAGAGATTAATCATTTTCTGTTGCTTTTTGTCTTGGATTGATGGCAACTCTTCACACTAAGGGGCTGTTTTTAAAATTGGATTTGACTCCACTACGTTCCAAAATTTCGTTCTATTTTAGGACAAACAACAGCTCTGACCTTGTCTGGGTATCACCAGCATCTTCAAAGGAATATGATCCATGGACTTTATGGTTAAGCAACAATTTGTTTGCCCTCTATACCACAACGGCTTAACAGGGAATCAGTCAAGAGTATTGCCTTTGATAAATTATAACTCTACTGAGGTTAGAGTTTCACTGTCGATGCCGGCCAAACG